GTGCTGAATAGCAAAAAATGTCCCGGTCATGTGGGGGTAAAATTGTCTGGAGCTCAAGTGGTTAAATAAACTGTAATAACCTGTTTACTGTACGGTCCCTTAAGTGCCCGGTCATTCCGGTGCGATTTCAGGTGCAATTTGGGAATTTAAAATCGCACCTAAAAATTCCATCTAATGAATGTGAACCTCAGTGTTTAAACATTTGCAATTTGCTGCAGCGTCATTTCTAACGTAGTTCTTGCATTACATTTTTCTGCAGTTTTATTGTGATTTTACATACATGTAATATAAAGGAAATTACACTGCAAATTGCAAGAAATTGTTGAAAATCTTCACAAGTACTAATAAAGTCTTCAGAAATTGCACCTGAAATCGTACTGAAATTGCACATAAATTGCAGCGGTGTGACCGGTGACTAAAGTGATTAGTGACCACAATTTAAAAATAGATGAAAAGAGGTTTAAATGTAAACTGAGAAAGGGGTTCTATACTGTTAAAACTGTGAAAATGTGTAAATCTCTTCCCCAGTAAGTATTATTATGTGGATAAACTATTGCTAAAAAAAACACTTTTTGATATCTCCCACAGTCAGTATAATTTACAGGGCTATAGGTATTTTTAATAGAAAATAAAAATAAAAAGGAGTGGTTTTTCTTTAGATCACAAACTGGCCTGTGGTTGTAGGGGGTGTTTCTGAAACGCATAACTCTTGCATTCATGCTCATAGGTGTTGAATTTGGACCTGTGTTGCTTTACAACTTTATTCACTATGTACCATATTTGAATTTCCTCTTCTGTGTGCCATTCTTGCTCTTCAACATCTCACAAAAGATTTGCTCTTAGCAGGACAAACAAAACCCCGGATCCTGCATTCACTATATCTGCTCTCCCACAGTATACACAAAATGGAAATGCAATTATTTTAGTAAATATAAACTGCTAAATACCTTTTCTCATCAGCAGTTAGAGCAATCTTGTGACTTCTACCAGTGTCCAGCCGAGCACTGGTTAAAGCTTGTAGGAGAAGTTTTCATTCTCCTTGAGGAGGATGCAAGAACCCCTGACCTCTTTCTGGACAGTGCTGATTGGCCCTGTGCTGATTACATGCACTCTCCCAAGAAACAAAAACCTCTTTAGCAATACACACCAAACTGAGCATGTGCAGAGTGACTCCACACAATATGTCTTATCAGGAGATAAGAGTAGGGCACTGGAAGAAGGGTAGGATCAGAGAAGTCAAGATCAAACAGCATTTTTACACAATGCAGAGGATTAACCCCTTAGGTTCCACAGTGAGTATACCCAGCATGATTTACTGCATATACAAACTGATTTTACGGTTCTGAGTTTAGTAACACTTTAAACTGGAACTCTGGCATAAATGTTCTATTTGTTTTTAAACAGCAGGGAAGAATTAGACCATATATTCTGTTTTTTTATCACTCCCTAGAGAGATTTTCTCTAAAGTCCTGTCAGGAAAAAAACTTGGTAGGAAACCTCTAACAAGGACAAATACTACAAAATGTGTGTTTGGTACAGTGAGCAAGTATTGAAATTAACTGTATGGCTATGCAGTGTGGTGGACAGGTGTAAATAACATTGGCTATGCAGAATTCAGTCTCTGTAGTTAAAACATATACTGAATGTATTTTTGTATATAGCACAGACTAACAGACATTTTTATTTTTTCCTGTCCTAGTGACAACAGCACCACCCATTCCCTGCATAGGCTTCACAGGTAAACAACCCAATGGGGGCACAGACAGAAATTAAACCCTAACAGAAATTGTTACTCTTACATACTCTGTCCTAAAGCATAAATAAAAATGTCTGAAGTTAGTGTGTGCTACATACAAAAATACATACAGCACTGTGCAAAAGTTTTTAGGCACATGTGAAAGAATGCTGTAAATAAAAAATGCTTTCAGAAACAGAAATGTGAATAGTTTACTTTTATCAAGCAACAAAATGGAATGTAAATGAACAAAAGAAAAATCCTAATCAAATCAATATTTTGGTGTGACAACCCTTTGCCTTCAAAACAGCATCAATTCTAGGTACATTTGCACACAGTTTTTGAAGGAACTCAGCTGGTAGGTTGTTCCAAACATCTTGGAGAACTAACTACAGATTGTCTGTGGATGTAGCCTGCCTCATATCCTTTTGTCTCTTCATGTAATCCCAGAAAAATGCGATGATGTTGAGATCAGGGCTCTGTGGGGGCCAAACCATCACTCCGAGGACTCCTTCTTCTTCTTTACACTGAAGGTAGTTTTTAATGACATTGGCTGTATGTTTGGGGTCATTGTCCTGCTGCAGCATAAATTTGGGGCCGAATACACGTCTACAAGATGGTATGGCATGATGGATAAGTATCTGCCTGTATTTCTCAGTATTAAGGACACTATTGATCCTGATTAAATCTCCAACTTCAGAAATGCAGCCCCGCACTAGTAAGGAACCTCCAGCATGCTTCACGGTTGCCTGCAGACGCTCATTATTGTACTGCTTAGCTGAGTCGCTTCACCTTGTTTCCATGTTCTATGCACAAAAACATAGGGTGCAGAAAAATGGCAACAGGTACTCTGGACTGATGAGTCAAAATTTGAAATATATGGCTGTAGCAGGAGGCAGTTTGTGAAGGGCTGGAGAGCAGTACAATAATGAGTGTTTGCAGTAGTAATGAGCCGAACACCCCCGTGTTTGGTTTGCGGTCGAACATTGAAACCTAATGAATGCTTGACTGCGAACTTCAAGTCTATTGGACTCAAACTTGTAATTCAAAAGTGCCCTTTTTGGAAGGCCTAAATGCAAGTTATTGGCCATAAACTGGGGACTCGGGTCCTGCCCTGAGGGACATGAATCAGTGAAAAAAAAGAAAAGTTCCTTTAAATATTATGGTCCCCTAAACTACCTACAAAGTTGCACATCTGTACAATGTATATAACCCTGCTGCAGCAGGATTGACATAAAAAAACAAAAAAAAAAAAAACAAAAAAACAAACATGTAAAAAAGTAAATTTTTTTTTTAAAAAAGTGAGTAGTGTTGCCCTTAAAAGCCATACTAGGCCCTGGTAGGACTTTTAAGGGGAACCCCACCTCCCCAAAAAAGGGGGAAAGTGCGTGGGGTTCCCTTAAAAGCCATAACGGACCCTTTAGGCCTGGTAGGATTTTTAAGGGGAAGCATGAGGTCCCCCCTAAATATCTACCAGACCCTTGATCCAAGCACAGGCCTGGCAGGGCAGGAAGGGGGGGGGGGGGGGCATGTGCCCTTGGCCTCTTCCCCACAACCCTGGCCTGGTGGTTGTGGGGGTCTGCGGGCAGGGGAGTTCATTAGCATCAGAGTACCCCTTTAAATAAGGGTGCACCCCGATGCTGCCCCCCCTTGTGAATGAGTAAGGGATACTTGTACCCCTACCCATTCACTAAAGGGTTAAATTCAGTAAAAAATAAATACGCCAGACTTTTGAAAAACAACAGTTTTTGACAAGTCTTTTATTTAAAAAAAAAAAAAAAAAAACCCATAAAAATGATTTATTCGATGTATTCCATCATCAATCATGGTGTCTAGTCTTGTCACAACGCCGCTGACTCGCTGGAATTTAAAAAAAAAAAAAAACCACGCCCACCGACCACTCCCTGCAATCTGACATTTGTCCGTCAGATGTAAACAATTGGGTGGAGCTAGCAGTGACATCACCACTAGCTCTGGCCATTTGTGCTGTGATTGGCTAAAGCATTGCACCTGACCTGTAGGGCTGCATTTCTGTAAATGGAGTTGGAGATTTGGTCAAGATCAATGGTGTCTTCAATGCTGAGAAATACAGGCAGATACTTTTCCATCATGCCATACCATCAGATCACGTGTGATTGGCCCCAAATTTATTCTGCAGAGCAGGACGACGACCTCAAACATGCAGCCAATGTCATTAAGAGCTATATTCAGTGTAAAGAGGAACATGGAGTCATGGAAGTGATGGTTTGGCTCCCACAGAACTCTGATCAACATCACAGTCTGTCTAGGATTATATGAAGAGACAGAAGGATTGAGGCAGCCTACATCCACAGATCTGTGGTTAGTTCTCTAAGATGTTTGGAACAACCTACCTGCTGAGTTTCTTCAAAAACTGTGTGCAAATGTACCTAGAAGAATTGATGCTGGTTTAAAGGCAAAGGGTGGTCACACCAAATATTGATTTCGATTTCTCTTTGAACACTTCCATTTCTGAAAGCGTTCTTCATTTACAGAATTTTTTCAGACCTGCCTAAAACTTTTGCACAGTTCTGAATAGATTTTAACTACAGAGATTCTAATTTGGTGCAGCCATCATGTGATTTTCACCTGTCCACCACACTGCAGAGTCATACAGGTAACCCCTATTTCCTGATTCAGAATCCCACCATTGTATACCACCTCTCCCCCCTTCCCTGCTCACTGGACAGTAATAGATATCATCACCTTTAACCAGTGAGCAGGGAAGGTGATCCAAGGATCTATAAAGCTGAACCAGATAGCAGAAAAATGCATTTCCTTTTTCTGCAGTGTGGCCACAGTAGATGAATCACAAGAATGGTTGTACTAAATAAAAATTCTTCATTAGTTAAATAGTAAACATATCTGTATTTCAGCTTTAAAGTTAGCAGTGTGCCCAGAGTTGAACATAACTTTTACTTCTCCATACCCCCAACCCTGTATCAGTCTTATATCCAACTGTCCCCTATTACACATGTGATCAGATGAAAATAAAGGGGAAAAGAGCTGGTAAGTCACAAGATATTACATTTTTTGTTTTTGGGTATAGATACCCTTTGAGCTACCCTATCAGTTACCCTAATATAGCTTGTAAAAAAGATAAAGTGACTTTTATTACAACAACTTGCAATGAATCCTCTTACAAATTTAACCGCCTCCCGCCAGCCATAAAAGGTAATGACGGGTGCAAGGCGGTTCTCTCGTTTTGGGAGGACATCATATGACGTCCTCCCACTCTAACACCGCATGCGTGGCTCCGGGAGCATGCAGTGTGGCGATTGGTGACACAGCGGATCACCGATCAACGGAAAGAGCCGAAGATGTCGGCTCAGTCATGTGATCAGCTGTGTCCAATCACAGCTGATCACATGTAAATAGGGAAATGCTGGTTATCGGAATTTCTCTCCTCACAAGCTGTCACGCTGACAGCTCGAGAGGAGAGCCAGTAATCAGCATTCCTCAGAGGGGACATGTACACTGATCATCAGGGCACTGATGATCAGTGTGCCCTGATGATCAGTATAGCCTCAGCAATGCCACCTGTCAGTGCCCATCAATGCCAGCTGTCAGTGCTCATCAATGCCACCTGCCAGTGCCCATCAATGCCTCATCAATGCCACATATCAGTGCCCATCTGAGCTGCCTTTCATTGCCACCTATCAGTGCCAGTCAGTTCCACCTATCAATTCCAGTTGGTGCCACCTATCAGTGCTGCCAATCATTGCCACCTATCAGTGCCAGTCAGTGCCGCCTATCAGTGCCACCTAACAGTGCCAGTCAGTGCCATATATGAGTGCTGCCTTTCAGTGTCCATCAGTGATGCCTGTCAATGCCCATCAGTGCCACCTACTAGTGCCTCCTCATCAGTGCCCATCACTGCAGCCTCATTAGCACATCAGTGAAGGAGAAAAATCACTTATTTACAAAATTTTATAACAAAAACTAGGAAAAAAAAAAAATTTTTTTCAAAACTTTCAGTTGTTTTTGGTTTGTTTAGCAAAAAATAAAAAACCCATAGGTGATTAAATACCACCAAAAGAAAGCTCTGTCTCAAAAAAATTATAAGTATAGTGTTGCATGACCGCGCAATTGTCATTCAAAGTGTGACTGAAAGCTGAAAACTGGCCTGGGCAGGAAGGGGATATATAAGTGCCATGTAGGCAGGTGGTTAAAGGATATTAATAACATTAAAAAATATGTTTTTTTTTGCTAACTCTAAAAAATATTTTCTGTCCCAATGTTTTCCTTCCATAGGGAGGATTCCATCACCTATTATTACAATTACAAAATGGCAGTTCTCAAAGTAAAGTTCACGAAGACAAGAAGGGGAAAACTAGCTCAAGTTCTATGGATTTTAAACTGGGTGTCTGTTGTGACTGGACTCATTATTTTCAGTTTGGGGCTCTATCTGAAAATTGAAGTTAAGAAACGAAGTGAGCTGATGATAAGTAGGGACCTTCAGACCGTTCCCAACATGCTTATTGCTGTGGGCACAATTGCTTGTGTCATCAATTTCTTTGGTGGAAAAATTTGCTATGATTGTTCAGATGCCAATAAATTCTCCAGATGGAAGCTGTTTATGCTGCCCTATATCATCTGCACCTTCTTCTTTACATTCTGCGTGTTTGCTGGAGCCATCATGTGTTATACTATGAGGAACGAGCTGGAATCTGCTCTGTACCGTGGACTTAAGGATGCCTTAAAATATTACAAGGACACAGATATCCCCGGGCGTTGCTTCCTAAAATCTACCATTGACATGCTACAGATTGAGTTCCAGTGCTGTGGAAACAATGGATTTAGGGACTGGTTTGAGATCCAGTGGATGTCTGCTCGTTATTTGGACATGAGCTCCAAGGAGGTCATTGAGTAAGTACATTGGTTTGAAAAGAAATTGAAGGGTAACTGTGCATTTGTCCATCTGTCTACCTTTCTAATCAAATTCACCCATATAGGTTCAGGCCTCAGATGCTGACATCGGGTTTTTATAGCTTTAGTCTACCCAGATTTAGGAAGTGTTTTTATTCTGTTTTCTGCAAATCCTGTTAAGCTTTGCACATATGCAGTTTTTGTTTCTATTGCAGCCCTGATGAAGGATGACTGTACTTAACCCCCAAAACACACTGCTTTTTATCCTGTGTTATTTGTTTGGGATTTAAACATATCATTTTGGACTCTAAAACTAGTGGCTTGGTGTTTACTCTCCTTTTCTTAGTGCTACATTCAAGATGTTTCTGGTTGATGTGAGCTTCCTAGCCAAAGCCATTGAGCTCCAGCAATCAAATCAAACTGTAATACCCAATATCCAGTGCCTTTTATCTAAACCATTTCATGGCCATTATGGGCACATGAGCTAAGCCATGCAGGTAGATGGCCATTATTCTCTATGACAAGGCCGTGCACAACCAGTTCACAGGACCACCAGAAAGTTGAAGAATAAAAACAGAGCTTGGCTCCAGGTTGAAAAGGACAGCAGGAAATTGGCAATGTCTGTATGTGAGCTCTGTACTTTTTTTTTTCATTATTTAAATATAATTTTTATTAATTTTTTTTTATGGGTACAAGAGAAGGCATTTGTATTACAGCTTTCTCTCATAAGAATAGGCAAACAAACAATCTAAAAAAAAAAAAAAAAAAAAAGAAGATAGATCTGTAGATAAGGCCAAAAGTAATAAGTCAGACAAGAAGTATGAAAAAGAATAATAACCTCTATCAGGTAACTATCAGGTCAACAATTTGTCTGGGAAAATAATGCTCGAGATCACCAGTTAGGCTATATTAGAAGCGTATAGCTATAGGGTAATGGCCTACTTGGGCAAAATCCTATATTAAAGTAAGAGTAAAAGAGAAGGGGGGGGGATATTAGATTGAAGTGGACAGGGGAGAGATGTAGCGAAAGAGAGGAAAGGAAGAGAGGAATGATTAAAGCTAGGTATACATATACCAAAAGTCGACCAGTTCCTGCAAAACATGTGTTCCACTGTCTGTTCAACAGAAGCCAGTCTAACAATTGGCTTCTGTCGAACTGTTATTCTGGAAAATCAGCAATCAATCAGCGCTTGCAGCCAATGGCTCCAGAACCAAGAATAAAGATGTAGTGTAAAATAAAAGTGAGGTTTAGAAAAGAATACAGATTTATTGTTTTAGGTAGTGTGTGGGGATTTTTTTTTTTTAAATACATACAACTATTTTAGATATGTTCACACTTAGTGCAGGATATTGGAGTCACAACATGGATCTATGGAGTAGGGAAGAGTGAAACATTAAAGTTATGGTGAGTTGGACCAAAATGACCCAAAAAGCACTTCACTAGAATACTGTGATGTACAGAATATCAGGTGTGTTCCTTTGAGAACTATGAGTTCCTCTGGGTACAAATGACATGGTTGTGTGGGTGGAGATACTCAGAGATGTGCCAAACTCAAATACACATGCACTCTAGAACCCCCAAATTCAGTAAGGGAGGGGGGGTTGCATGACCATTTTATGCTATACTGTATGGGTGTAAAATGAAACATGCCCAGAAACCTTGATGCCTCAAACCAACAAGGAAACAACACATGCAAAGCTGCGGTATGTCTCAAATTCCTGCTTAGTCCTCCTTCTTGCCATAGACTTCTCTACTGTAACATTAGCTCTGAGGTGGACATACGCAGAGAAAAGGTAACATCTGCATCATTAAATTTCTTACAGTGAGAGCTGGGTACCCTTTGTTGGTTTTTTGTAGTGGCGTTTGACTTATTTTAACTATTTTTCAGGGTTGAGATTTTCACCTTCTGCCCTGCTCACCTTCTGGCCTGACCTTGGCTTGAGAAATCTGTCTGTTTTCTATTCTCTGACTTGGCATGACATCTTGATCCAGACCATGTCTTCCGTTATCTCCCTGGTAGCTTTCCCATTACGTCATTCGGATTACAGACACCAGGGTATAAGCCAGTAGGCATATCATGTCTTAAAGAACTCGCTAAGTGTATTAAATAGTCACATAGTATGAAGCCATCAAGATTTTAGTCAAACAATCCCATACACAATTCTTCCTACAGAGAATAGGCAAAGCCCATAGTAAGAGGACAAGTCTTTATGCAACAACCATACTGTATGTTCCTCTTTACTACCTTCTTATCAAATGTTCTTCCATAGAAAACCATACATCTCCTTGAAATATATACAAAAAGCACATGTGCTGCAGAATTATAAGTGCATCTCCTAGCCTCCTACCAAAAAAAACTCACAAACACTTGTTGACACTACTAGTTTACTCCCACCTAATGCAGCTTCCTGTGATACTGTGGCAATGACCCTGCACTGCTCCTGAATTCAGAACCAAGTTGCACCCCTCCTCACAGGGGGCATAGCTAGCAACATTGTCACTGCCGATTCCCAAGTCTGTAGCTTGTTGTAAATCAGCACCTGGCCACACCTATGCCTGCCCACTGCTTTCTGGATTGGCAGTACTGACTGTGCTCCTGAAACTCTCCCACAGTGAGCTGCAGTGTTTGGAAAGGAGAAGCATATCAGGCATACATGAAGAAGGAATTGTCTCAGTTAGGTAACGTAATGGAAGGGTGGTTTTTTTATTAACCCTTTTGCTGCCAGCCCCTGCACTCCATTTTGAAATTCAGGTGGTCAGGCAATTTTTTCATTGTTTTTTTATTTTTACCTTACAGCTTTAATAGTTTGTAAAAGACCTACCAAACCATACATATTCTGAAAGCACATGATCAGTAGAATAAAAAGAAAGTGCTACTGATTTTTTTTTAGGCCCTGTGATATCTACGCAAATGTTTATCAATTTGTTATTTTCACTAAAAATACACTAAAGACGTTATTCGTAGATACATACATGGCAAAACTTACAAAATTCCTGCTAAATTCCTACTAAATATAACAGTTAAAACTCTACTGAGTTAAAAAACTGTACCATTTTGTGAAAAAGTGAAAACTGAAGGTGTCCAAAACTGCAAATAAAAACTATATACTCAAAATCTGAAGGTAATCTTTTTTCACTTACAACTTTCAGTTTGTAAAAACCGCCCCCAAACCCATACACTTTCTGAAAGCACGTGACCTGTAGAATAAAGAATTGTTCTACTGATTTATTTTTTAGACCCTGCAATAGTTGCGCAAATGTTTATCAATTTTCTGTTTTTACTGAAAATACACTAAAATCATTTACAAAATTAATGCTAAGTTCCTACTAAATATAAACGCTAAAACTGTATTGAGTTAATAAATAATATATTTTTATACATTTTAAATTGCGCTATTTTGTGAAATGGTGAAAACTGATCGTGCGATAAACTGTAAATAAAAGCAATTTACTCTAAAAATCTGGAGGTTATCGTTTTTCACTTACAGTTTTCAGAGTTTTTAAAGCAGAGTTCCACTCACCCTATCGAAAAATAAAAGTCAAAAAGTCAGCAGCTACAAAAATGGTAGTTGCTGACTTTTAAAAAAACAGCCACTTACCTTTCCCTCGGTCCCGTGGTGTGTCTCCTGCAGCCCGTTTCATAGGCTGTCCTGTATTCCAAAAGGCCGGCATCTTCAGTGTGGGCACCCGGCTGTGATAGCTTGCAGCTTCACAGCTGGGTACCCACTGTGCAAGCGTGAGTAAGCGCTGCGCTTCATGAATGGTCCTGTAGTCTTCTGGGACCTGTCACGTGTCCCAAAAGACTACAGGGAGGGAGAGAGGACACCTTCCGTTTCCGATCACTTAGGCGATCGGACCAGAAGTGGGAGCCGGTACCTGTCAAATTCGGGTACCCGCTCCCCCCCCCCCAGCCCCCAAAGGTGCCAATCCTTAATAGGGAGTGGAGGAGTAGTCCTTAAAGCGAAACTTCCCCTTTTGGGTGGAGCTCCGCTTTAAAAGACCTCCAAACCAAACTTATTAGCTTGTTTCTACCATCATACTGTATATGCAATCTACTTGACAGCTGCATGACCTGTGCTTATTTTTGTAAAAACCCAATAAAAAAATTCTGACCCAGAAATGCATTTCAATGAAGAATGCCTATTTATCCTGTG